TACACTTGTTACTATATTTAAGGAAATTAAATACTACAATTACTACTTTTTCAATATTTTATTTTCATAAAGCTTGAAGCCTTTTCTTCCAAGCTACATCTTCCTCTTTGAACATCATCTCTATTTGCTGTTGATTGCAGTGACATCTATTGGAGAGGCAGTGTTTGGCTACATGAGCATCTTCAACTGAAGATCAATGTTTTCTGGTGATCCCCCTCACTCAAATCAAAGCAAAATTTAGGGTTGCTCTTCCTTTGTTTTAGAACAGCTGTGCATAAAACAGACTCCAAACAGCCAGATACCCAAGAATTATAGTATGAGTGGGTTTGCTTTTATTCAGTAATTTGTTAGTAATTCTGGTGCTTTCCCAAAGTGCTGATGATTATGTTCACATCCTCACTCACAGCAGTGCACAGATACTTCCTGAGATCCTGTTTCTGCACACCCCATGTACTTGACCATACCTCCCTCAAGGAGCACCTTCCACTATCCCAGGTTGCTCCAAGCCCCGTCCAACCTGGCCTTGGACACTTCCAGGGATGGGGCAGTCACAGCTTCTCCGGGCAACCTGTGCCAGGGCCTCCCCACCCTCACAGTAACAAATGAAGAGTCAAATACTAGAGAAGTTTTAAAATCTCTTGCTTTGGTAGAGAAACGACCAACCTCAAAAAGCATTTTAGGAGGATAAATCATTACGCTTTCTTAGAGCTTCATTGATTTCTACATTATCTAGAGACAAAATAAAAGGAAGGGGGTATTATTATCCCCTTATTAGATACAGTTTAATACCCTTGCAGCCAGGAAGTCTGAGCACAGCAGTACCTTAGTCCATTATCTAAGCTACCTTCCACAAATTTTTTATTATCATCTATTTTTATGATTTTAAACTTATTTGAAACCAACTAGATCAATCTCAGTCAACTAACTGACAAAAGATTTTACTAAAAATGTAACAGCAATTGAAACTAAGGATTTCAAGTTCTTTCAACAGTTGCCTTTTTAGTTTTCTGAGAATGGCTTTTAAGGCCTTTCCTATCTAATTTATGATTGCTTCAACTCAGTTACAAAAGTATATCTAAACTGTATGGTTATGAATTCCCCCAAGGAAAACCTTATGAAACATTCCATTACAAACTACTCTGCCCATCCATTTCCTCTGCTTCTTTTTACTACCAACCCCTCATTATAGCAATAGGCCACAACGGGGTGCACATTAGTCCATTAGCAGATTCTTAGTGCACACCTCCAGCCATCCCCCACTCCAGGAAAACACATCAATGCCTATTGATGCAGTTACAGCACAGCTGCTCCAAGTACAAATAGCTCCTTTGTATGTTCTCCCCTTCTTTTACTTGTTTTGACTAAAAAAAAAATCCTATTCAAAACCTTATGGTTTTAACGTTTGGGAAGTCAAAAAAACCCTCTTTCCCCAAAATAACCTCTGCCATGGACAAGTGTGGGAAGGAATAACTCCAAACCTATGTTGTAACTGTAATCTTTTCAGGTTTGGAAGATGACGGATTTTGAAGGCTCCTTTTGCAGCAGGATGCACACAGTGCAAGGTGTACAAAAACTGTTTTGAAGCATAAGCTGAAAGCCCTAAAACAGCAAAGTCAAAGCAAGGAGAAAACAAAACCCATGTCACACGATGTTAGAGCTGGATAATGATAAAGATTTAACAGCATCATTAGAAGAAATAAAACAAGAGGAAATACTATTTTCAACTTGCCTTCAAAGTCTAGGAAAAACTATCTAAGAACTTAGGATTCAATACTGGAAGTACTGGTGGTATGAAACAGAAATACAAAGGAGAAGCAGATCTGAAACTTAAGGGTCTTGGGTGCAAGAAGTCACATTTGAAAAAAACCCCAACAAAACAGCTGGAACTTTAAACTTCTCAAACCACAGAAACATGGAGGATATGTATGGAGTTTCTCTAGACCAAGAGGTACCTCACAGTTCTATTCCCAACAAGGATTCACCCTTTTTGGATCAAAAACAACTCTTGAAAAGAAAAGGGAAAACATCTACAAGAAATTACTGTTTGTTCCAACAAGTCAGCAATGAAAGCTACAGTTTCAGTAGTGGAAAAGCAGGAATAAAAGGGAGCATTGCCAAAAGGCAAGTGGATTTAGCTCCCACAGGGGAGATTAAATCAATACCAAAAAGGTTTTTCAGCCACTTTAAGGAGAAAACAGACAAAACACAGAGACTGTGAGGCAGTATGGATGGGACAGAAAAGAAAGAAAAAATTTCTAAGCATGGCAGGAAGACTAACAATGTTCTGCTTTCATTTTCAGTCTGGGGAATGACGAAGGATGTGGAGACACAAGATGAGAGGACGGGTTCAAAGAAGTGACAAACAAGGAGAAAAAATGTCAAGTGGAGCAAGTAAACTATTTCTGGAGTATGAAAGAAATTGATGAGCAGGTTCGTGACACTGCAGCTGTATTAATAAGAATGTTAAAAAAGAAAATAAAATCCATCAGGAGCACAACCAGAAGATGGATTTAACAGCTGTCCCACCTCAAAATGCCCTCCAAGGCCTTCCATGCTATGAAAGAGATGAAGAACTACAGGAAGCAAATGAAAGAAGGAGAGGTTATGATGTGAATTTACCTAGGCTGACACCACACCTTCCTTTTTAAGATACCTTATTTTCTAAATAAGGAAGACAATAAATCTACCTCACCTGTTCACTTATTATTAATGTTACAAAACTAGTAGAATTAGTAGGATAAGTGGGTAAGGAACAGATCCATATGAACATGCAAATGGACAGTGTTAAAAAGACAAGTGCTGGTCTGGGTTGAGATTTCTGGAAAAGGTGCTCAAGAATCAGGACAGAAGTTATGAACATCAAGCAGTTCACATAAACAATACTGTACTGGAATTCACAGAGAAAACTTTGTTTTTCAAGTGATCACAGAATAGGGACTCTGTAAAAGCCCATTCCACAGCTGCTGAGATGCTTAATGTCATTAAGTACAGTTGGATCATTTCTAACTTACTTTTTACTTCAAGGGTTGAGGCACAAACTTAGTTTAAGCTTCCTTAGCCTGTTTTTTTATTTGAAAGAAAAAGAATGAGGTGGGGGAAGAATAAAATGGAAAATGCACGTCTTGGTTTTCCAAGATTCATGGAAAAGATGGTTATTGCAAAACATTTTCAGTCAGTAAAAAAGGGAGAGAAAAGGAGATTCCTCTGAACAGATGTGTGCTGCTGCCAAGTCTGGTAGGATTGATGAATTTAATATCAGAAGTAGCTTTACCTTTTGCGCTTTCAGACTCAGCCAGCAATATCGTTAGGGATGGCAGAACAGCTATAAAATGACCAAGCCCATGAATAAGGAATTATTTCTGAGCAAAGTCTTAACTGAGGTCTAGCAAGCTCTTGGATTCAGGCATATCCTAATTAGATAACTCAGGTGTCAGCCTACTTATCACATATATCCTTTAACTGGGAATTATAACTTTAATAATGAGCTGAAATGAGTTTGTTACTATTGGAGTTTTATTGAGTCTGTTTGAAAGCTCAAGATAAATTCAATCCAGCATCCCCAGAGTCTGCAGTCAAATATTCCTCCCTCACTACCACTCCCCACAGAAACACTGGAAAACCTTCCTGAGGTAACTATGTGGAATACTTCAAACCAGTGGGATGACAAACTCAGTAAGGGGGAATTCTGGAAGTATCTCAGTTCAAGAGTTCACAATTTTCCTTCAAAGCAACAGAGGCAGACCTGAACACACTTCTCCTCTGCCCCCATTACTGTTTCCGTGAGAACAACCTTCCAGAATCCTTCTTGTCTCCACCAAAGCAGGCCTAAAAGTGACAAACCAACCAAACTCATTAATTATCTCAGCTTCAATGGCACACCACTGCCAAAGAAATCAGCAAGAGCAGCTGGAAGAGCTTTCCCACCAGCAGGCTCCAAGTTCAGGGCTTCCACTCTGAATGGGAGCCACAGTTAGTTCAAGATCAAAAGCTACAAAGGCATCTCTCTGCTTTGGCTGATCCATAACCAGGGTAAACAAAAACCTCTCCAAGACAAAAGATGATGAGAAAAAACCACTGCAGCAAAAAAATACAAACCAAACTCCAACAAAAGGCCATAGAGAATCATAGAGTATTACGGGGTTGGAAGGGACCTTAAAGATCATCTAGTCCCAAGCTGTTCAAGGCCTTATCCCACCTTTATGCTGATTCGATACAAAAGAGCATAAAAGATAAAAAATAGAAGGTAACTTATTTTAGAAAGTAATTTAGGACTCCTAACTGCAATTTGAGTATTTCTAAATATTCTAATGGAAAATAGGCTATGGATAATAACATTTCATTTAACCAAAGTTGTAATTCTCAAAGCAGTATGCTGGAATCTAAGTCATGCTGCCAGATGCTCTCAAGTTCCACTGCATCCTACTCTTTAGGTCCCTACTCTTTCACAGTGTGCATATTGTTGTAATTCACTGCAAAACCCGAAACAGGACAATTGCAGAACCTTTCCCATAAAAGGTGTTACCAAAAAAAAAAAAAAAAAAAAGAGGTCCTTTTCTCAGTAAAGTACGAAACAATAAATCAGTAGATTTTTTTTTTTTAAGGAAATTATCTTGCTTGAACAGCATTGTCTGGAATCACCTGCAAGATTTCTGGACAAGAACTATGCACCAGTGGTTCTCAACCTATGACTGCTCAACTAACACTGCAATTACAACAGTAAAACATAACATCTTGCCCAAGCAAGTCCTCTAGACATGGCTTAGCCATTTTTAGACTGAAAATAAACAGAGCCCTTCCTCTATCTTTTCGGAAGAGCTGAGCTACAGGAGCCTGGCTGGGAAGAAAAGATGATCTAAGTCACAAATCAGGTGGAGGATTGGATGCTACAGCCACACTGAGCACTACTGCCCATAATACAACAATAAATGGCAGACAGGTTTTATCACAGTCTGATTGAGTTCCAGAAATGTAATCTGATGTAATGATTGTGCACTACTCACTCTCTGCACAAGCATCCTCATCCTCCTCTTCATCCACGACAGCTTCCTCTGTGTGCAGCCTTTCAAGGGCTCTATAAGGAGGTGGCAGTTTCATGGGAGGTGGAGCCCCATATTTTCTCTGATGGATTCAAAGACAAACAGTTACATGTTTTGTAACCTCCCTACACACGAAAAAAATCCTACTGTCTATTGTCACTGTACATGCACAGACACAGCACTTAATTACAATGCTAAATTCTGCAGCAAAGGCTTTTTGTGCAAGAAAGCAGAACAAGAAGTGACATTGAACATTAAAAAAAAGAAAATAAAACACAATTGTGCATGCACATTTACTTGTTGACAAAATACTTCTGTATTGTCATAAACGTGAAAGTGTGGACATTATTCGAGGGTTAAAAATAAACATTAAATTACACCCTGTTTCTTATTACAGACTCAATAACTGTCTGGTGCTGATAAATGCCAAACTTTTACATGTAAAATATGAACTCAAACCTCTTAGTCCATATATGAATATTTAAACATCACAGTTCATCCTTATTTTGGCTTAAATTTAATAAAGATTTTGAATTATATCTCACAATAAAATTCTATTACCTCACATAAATACAGGCAGCTCCTATAATGATGCATGTAGCGGTGCATGGCAGGAATACAGAGCAGGCTCTGATTCTAATGAAGGCACTTTTCGGCTGAGCAACTGGTTTTATAGCTCCCAGGAACTGGATCCTGCCTTAGTTTGCAACGTGATTTCACTAAATGACGCTGAGCTGCATCCTTTGCAACCCTACTAATAGCAGGATGCACTTTAGAAAGGGAACACCGTGGACAAGATGCCATTAGAGCACCCACAATGTCCGTAATTAATTTCTTCTACAGCTGGGAAATATGACACAACACCCAAACAGTAAACCCAGGATAATGTTTTTTCACTGTGTGCAACCAAAGCTGAACCTGCGTATGGAGTTTTAAAATCTTGAGCTTAAATTTGTGCAGAATAGCATAACTAGGAAGCTGCACTGCAAGCTACATGGAAAATTTGGTGAGGTAAGATAACTACCATCTCATCCATTTAAAAAACATAACGGGAAAGTGTTGTAACACTTTTTTCTGCTGAAACAGAAAAGCAATAATAACTGAAATTATTTCAATCCACTTGGAAACACAACAGCTGTTTTCCAAAAGTGTACAAAAAACTAGCTGTGCCTCCCATTTTTTTCTTGAAGCCAGCACAGGTAGAACTGTGCAAAATCCAGAAGATCCAGGAAGCATGAGAGGGCTCACGTTCTACTTTACTGAGTAGATACAGATGGAAAACCTGCAGCCTTCCTTTCAGCTGCCTATGACAAATGAGTCACTTTATTATCACTATAATTTAGTAATAACTTACAGTCTAAATGTTGACTCTTTGGCTTTTTAAGACCTTAAACATTTATTAAAAAGTCTGTTTGAAATTACTTGAGACACCTAAGCTTATCCATAGTTTCTCTGTAAGGCTCAGAGGGACAAGTTTCTCTCATCTCTCCTGGCCCACTGAAAAGCCAGATGAATAAATTGTATCTGACTACTCTATTATACCACTTTTTTGTATTAACACAGAGGCAAAAGCACAGTTTACATAGCCAACAAGTAAAATAATGTTGATATCTGGTTTGTCCACAATTGTTTTAAGTGGGTTTATATAAAATAAAGTGATAGTTTTTAAACAAATACATCAACAGAGGAGGATAAACACCAGCAAATCGGGCAAAACCTTCAGTATTGAAAAAATTCATCATACAGAAAGAGGCAGGTTTTCCAGCTGCATGTGGCTGCTTTCAAACCAAACTCTTTTGTGACACTTTGAAGGCTGGACTAGAAATATCACTGATTCCCCATAGGGATGTGGACTAATAATCCACTAATAGCAACTCTTTCCAACTCTGAGATGGCACTTCGGAAGCACAGTACGACTGCTTTGTGAACTAATGTTCAAAGCTAAAAAGGAGCTACATATTTATGCAGTGAAGCTCTTTATTCCACCCACCAGTTTATAGCACCAACAGATGAAAAAGGTTTGAAAAAGATGAGGCTCCCTCTTTAACCTCAGAACGCTGTAGAACGTGACACGCTGGAGTGCTGGAGATTAAAGGCAGCACATTGCAAGAGGATGAGAGCTTTTGAGATTAGAAATATAGATAAAAACCCCAAGAAAACGGGATTGTAACTGCTTCATTGGAAGTATTATCCACTGGCATGAAAGCATATCTGCAACACCTTTTTTGATTTTTTTGAATAACTGAGCCTTGTAGCTTCTGTACTTGAAAGGAAAAATTTTGGAAGCAAGAGGGTCTTTTCAGGTACCCAGAGTACTGAGTAGGATCAAATGAAAAGTTCATCCTATTTGTAGCTGGCATGTTAAACTGCACCAGGCAAAACTTAGTGTCTGCATTAATTCTGCCTCTGCTCCTCTAGTTCTGACAAACTCTGAAAGTACCTGACCTACACTCCTCAGTCAGGGCAATTCCCACAGGAAATCACCAGGCCATGACAGTGACATGGCTGGGAATGAGAAACTAATTTTTTCCCTCACTGAAGCCATGAAAACAAGTTCACTGTTTTATACCAGACTTTTTCTCTTTTAAAACTGCTGTGAAGTTATTTGGAAGTCGCTTCACAATTAGCTGAGCAGCTACAGATCCCTCGGTCATTTCCTTGTTTTACACAGCTATGGGAAATGCAGGAGACTCAGTGGATTTAATTATCCTATAACATGATTTTACTGAATTTCAGCCAGCCTCAGATTAAGGATATTATTTGTGTACACGTTGGTATTTCTCTGTTTCTGTTGAACAAAAGAGAATCAATTTGCTTCCATATAGAGCAAAACAGGTACTTCAGAGAGATGACAGTGAGGAGCTGTGCTAAGTACAGGGTTTCAGCATCCAGCAGACACCCACAGAATATTTGTCAGAAACTTGACTTGTATTTGGCAGAAATATGGCAAAAATTCATAGAATCAAAGATATTTCAACAAATCACTTCAAATTTAATTTCAGACTTCAGAGGAAGCTTATTATAGAGTTAGAATACATGCTATTATACTATTTGATACAGTAAAACTTGAGTATAGCTTTGAATGGAATAAATACCTTATCGCTCTTATTTTCTTTGTCTGCATCCTGATCTTTGCTGACTTTGATTCCCTTAGGCTGGGCGGGAGCAACCACCTGAAAAACAGTGTATATTACACACATTAGAAAGAGCATTACAACTGCAAAAAACCCATCCAAAATCAGTTCATGACAATGACAAAGTTACCCAGTACTCTCTTCATTTTGCCCCATGTAGAAGGGCATTGCAGTGCAGTCTTTATACTATATTCTTTTACTGAATTTAATGAATTACATTATTTCCTGAATTTACAAACATTCTATACTTTTTTTCTACTGCTCACTGGTTGATATCTAGCCCCAAAATCTACCAAAATTCCCAATTAACCTCTCAAATTACATCAAAAGCACACACAAATTTGGGGTTTCTGTGTGTACTTCAATGCAGGTAGAATTGTATGCCTTTTCTTACTCAGGTTTTTCAAAATTTCTTGCCTTGACCTCAAAGATGAAGAGATACCTAAAATCTCTTGGAAATTAACTTGCTCCCAAATAACTACTTCAGGTCCCTTTGGTGACACATTTTACATGGAGCAGCTGGTGTAAATCTGCCTAATTTTAACTACGCCTTTGTTCCTCTGCATAACAGAATATATTTTTAGATTATGAAATATGGACAAATTAAATACACAGGGCCAGACTCTTATGACACAGGTGGGAGAGCTGAATTAACACCTAGTCAGCCGATTTATATCTACTCAAGGTAAATCAGAGAAATGAGGTTTCAAATCAGGTCAGAGAAGCAATCAATCAATCAACTGGTCTATAACTGAAAGGATCCATCCTTGGACACAAAAATTGATGGAACTTGCTGAAAGGAGTTGAGTCAAGCTTAAAATAAGATGCATATTAAACATTTATTAAGTTTTGGAATAAAAATAGAAATAAACTTACTTTTGGTACGTTAGCCAGACCCTGAACTACAAACACAACAGGATTTCCCGCGTTCTTGATGGCTTCTACTGCTTCCTCGTGGGTGGCATTTTGGAGATCTATCCCAGAAACCTAACAAACAATGTTTATTTTTATTAGGTACAGAGTCATTGCAAGAGACTACACACACTTGCAGAAGATTGGTGTATCTGAGGAAGGTATCAAAAACAGTCGAGAGAAATTATTTGTAAAGTATGTTTCCGTAATGGTTTAAGGAAAATTGTATTACGTAGAATTCATAGTTAAAAGATGGTCATATGTCTCCCAAAACAATTCTTCCAGATAAAAACATAAGGAATAAGATTGTCAGAGTGTTACATAATGTTAGGCATAATATAACTCTTTCAGATTTTACCTGTTTGTAAACTAAACCTGAGCAGCACTTTTGGCTTGGGAACATAGATTCAGAAGCATTAATTCGGAGAAAAATGACTAAAAAATCAACACAGAGACAGAGGTGAGAGGCAGGAATGACATTTTTCCCCACAGCACCCGCCAGAATCAGAGATTTGCCCCAAATAGCGGTTAATCAGTTAACTACTCTAAATCCACACACACAAAATAACAGCCCATACTTCAGTATGAAGAGCCCATGTTCTTCTCTGTGTTAAAATTATGTTTATAGGTATGCTATAATTTATTACTCATTTATATGGGAAGAGGGCATTCGCATTTTTTTCATTTCCCCCTCAGACACCAGGCCATGTCTTTTCTTAAATATAAAGGAGAATGTTAAAAGGGCTACACAGTCAGACCTTAGGAAAAAAAAAAGACACCATCAGAGGTTTCTTTTGGTTTTCAAAACACAGTTTTGTCAATACTTCATGAAGTGGTGGCAGTATTTTGTCTCTCTCTCGTCCCAAAGCTGTTTGAGTCAATCTTTATTTCTTAGACTAAAAAGGTAGGTTTATCTCCATTTACCTCAAGTATTTTATCTCCAGTTTTTAAAGCCCTGGTTCTCCCTGCTGGGCTGTCTTCCAAAACTTGTTTGATAAAGATCCCTTTAAGTTCTTCTCCATTCTTCAGGCGCTTTATGACAGTTTGTCCACCAACAATACTGATTCCAAGAGACACGTGAGGGTCTCTGAAGATCTCAACACTGAAAAAAATATGTGTGGTAGTTTAACATCTTCAAACAGTTTATTTAAACTATAAATGTGAATCTTTAAACAAATGTAAGCTCCTGGTCTTTCAAGGAGATTTAACAGAGTAAAGAGATAAAGTCAGAAGCCTAAGAATGCTCTCAACAGAGTTTTTACCCCGAGCAGATTTCACCCCACAAAAAGTACAAAATTCTGCTGCCAATCCAGGTCCACTGGGCAGAGGCTTTTATTTCAGAGAAAGTCAGATCTTCAAGTAAACACTCATCCTCTTTTAGCTTGAGGAAATTGTCTGGAAATGGGAAGCTCTGCAAGTGGCACACTAGACAACTAATAAAGTGTGTCATATAACTTTCTGAACACTGACTGTATTAATCAGCTTAAACAGGAACTTTCTGGTCATATTTTACTTAGGACCATAAAAACAATTCACCTAAAAATGTTAACAATACAAGAAGGACATGGCTAAAAGTTAGCCTGGCAATTTGGAATCGTGCCATGGATTTTAGCAGGGAACTTGTGGAAAGGGAGACAGCAGCACTGTGTGCATTGTTCACACCTAATAGTTATTAAATGAGCAAGAACTTGTAGGTCATCCACAACGTAAACCAGCCAAGCTTTCCCAAGTCAGCTGTATAAATAGAAGGCATAATTCTGTTGAACATCTGTTAAAAATTCACTGTATCTAGGAAAGCCCAAGGTACACAAGTACCCTAAAGTTACTGGCAGAGGAAAAGAACAAAAAAAACAAAGAACTAATCGGGCTCACAGAAAAAAAGACATAAGGTAAATGGGAAGGAATAATGTAATTATATGAACATACGTTCGTGGTGGTCCCCAGTGGCTGAAGTTTGGAGTTTCTTCTCCTTCTCCTTCTTCTCTCTCGGGTAATTCACTGATTTGGGGCAGAGGGAGGGGAAGAATAAAAAAATAAAAGAGGCATCACCCATGCCAGGTCACAATTCCTTACATATTTTTTATCTGGCAGCGAGACAGCAACACCTTCTCACACTGTCCAGTTTAAACCAAATGTACAAAGTCAACAGACTAGACAGGAATTTTTGTATTTAGGTTTAAATGTACTTCAGGAATGCTCCAGAAATAAACATGATGGGCAGACCAAATTTATAAGCTGCTCCGTGATATACAAATCTGCACTGCATTTACTCATTTGAAATGACTATTTAAGCAATTTTAACATTTACTTTCTGATAAATATGCTGTGATGCTTAGAGAGGGACATAAACATGCCAAAACCAGCCTAGCTGACCAAAAAGCATATAATGATGCAACTAGGAGAACAGAACAGATCCTGTGTGTTCCAAACCTCCTGAATAATCCCCTCACCTTACTACTGAGCTGCTTTCCCTCTAAGGGGAGATTACAGATGAATTAGGGAAGTACTAAGAATTGGAATCAACAGGCTACAAAAGCTCCCCTACCCACTCACCCAAAACTGATGGGGAAAGACTGGGACACTTGACAGATATGGCAAATATTTACAACCAGTGCCAGCTCAAGGTTTCTCAGCACCACTGGCAAGACTACAGTTTCCTGCAGAGGCCTGAGAGCCATGGTTGAACTGCTCTTCCCAAAAAGAAGAACAAAGGAAAGGGGAAACCAACAGGACAGAGCTATAGTAAGGAGCTAAGGGGAGAGCAGCGCTGCTGTAAAGGCTACATCCCTCTCCTCCAGGACACATCCATACTCCCCTCACCGTGGAGTAAGTGAAGGAGGTGGCAGAGTCATTCATACCTTTCTGCCCAGTACTCAGGGGAGGAAACATGGGAAGTTTTAAGGCAAACTTCAGCTCCTTGGGCAAGAGTCATCAATGTATCTTAGCATTTCACACAGCCTTTAATGATGAATCAGTTAAGTAAATAAGTAAAGCAAGAAGACAGTTAAGATCTTTAACTGAAAGTCTTTCAGAACCTGAAATATTTCTCCATACCTGCATGACACTGTTCTAGGCTGAGCTAAGGAGGTTACTCTCCCAGATTCCAGGTTCTTAGAGAAAACATCATTCTCTCCTTTTAGCTCTTCCTTTTCAATAGCTTCCAAATCAACAGCAAGCCCAGGTCCTTTAGAGTCAATCCGAAGCTTTGTTCCTGAAGATGAAAAGGGGTAGATGAGAATTTTTACTTCCTCTGTCCCTGCACTGACTAATTATCATCCTTGAAAATAAACCACTTAGCTCACCAGGTTCTAAATGTGTTCAAGGCCAGGTTGGACGTGGCTTAGAGCAACCTGGTCCAGTGGAAGGTGTCCCTGCCTGTGGCAGAGGGATAGAATGAGACAGACGTGAAGGTCCCTTTCAACCCAAACCATTCTAGGATTTTATAGTTCTATGAAACATGGATGTTGCATGATTATCAGGAGGCTTAGAGATATAGAACATTTATTTTTGAAGGAAATTTAAACCACACTAACCAATTTTTTATAGCACCTTGCTTCTGATGTACAAACAGTCAAGTAATAACAGGAAACATCAGATCTCTGTGGAACTCAGACATTCTTAGGTATGACTTACATGTCAGATGCTCCTCACAAAAACACATGGTTAGGAATAGTGAATCTATCCTTTGCACAGGGACAGCAGATCCCTGCTCCAGTACAGAATCCCATTATGCTGGGAAAGACTGATGTCATTTTGGTGACAGAAGCATCAACATTAACGGAACCACCAGAGTTCCAGTCTGTCACTGCAGCTCACACACAGCAGTTGCTGCACAAGGTGAAGGTGGCAAAGACAGGAAACAGCCCAATCTCCTTCCTCCCAACCAGGGAGTGTTACTCCAGGCAGGCTGATAATTTTATTTCCCTGATGATCTACCAAATTCTAACCACTCATGTCTGGCCATCTGACAAGGAGAAACTCTGCTCTTGAACACAGATTATAAAACCAAGATATGAAGCAACATCTACTATAGAGTTCCCCGGCAAATTTTTGGTTGTGGTAAAGTCACCTCCAGAGCCTGTTACTTAATTTTTAATATTTTTTTTAAGTGCAAAAATCTATACAGTTATCAGTCAAAAGTGACTGAGAAAAATTCCTGACAGTAATAAGCTATTTTCCTTATGCACAGAGTCCTCCTGGGGACATCAGCTATCAGAATATCCCCCTCCTGGGGACATCACCAGAATAAAGTGATTTCCACAGGTAGAACAAAGTTGCAGCCCATTTCAGTATCATTTGTGACAACTGTGGGGAAAGATTGTGGAATGGTTTGGGTTGGAAAGAACCTTATAGTTCATCTCATTTGACTCCCTGCCATGGGCAGAGACATCTTCCACTATCCCAGGCTGCTCCAAGCCCTGTCCAACTTGGCCTTGGACACTTCCAGGGATGGGGCATCCACAGCTTCTCTGGGCAACCTGTGCCAGGGCCTCACCAATCTCTGATTAAAGAATTTCTTCCTAACTTCTAATCTAAACCTGCCCAGATTTGGAGGAGGAAGAAAGATTATAAAGCTGAAACCTATTTAAAGCCAGACTGTGTTGAGCCTGTGAAAGTTTTCATTTAAATACTGTATTATTTGAAAGAATTTGTATTTTGGTATAAAATTTAAATTTGTAAATATGAAATTATAAGATAAAGAAAAAGCTTCTAACAAACCTAAATCCATCTTGCTTTTTTCTTCTGACTGAGTAGTTTCAATATCAAATATGTCCTTTTGGTAGCCACTGTGTGCTGTGGTTCCAGGAAAGAGTGACCTTATAGTAGCATTTTCTTCACACTTCATAGAGGAGAAAAAAAGTAATTAAAGTTAGAAAGGAATGGTATTAACTTACACAGAGGTATTTGACAGGAACATTAATTTTTACAGCAAACATACACATTTTCTCAGCTACATTCATATTTATTCAGATAACTATGAAATGCTAACTGCTCATTTAAATACTAACTGCTCATTTATGCACTGTATTAAGAAGAGGCATGAAAAATGTTACATGCAATTGCAATATAAAGCAACTGTATCTTTCTACTCAATGTAATTCAGACAAAAAGTTCTTTACTCTTGCTCATTTGTTGTTTATAAGTAAAAAATATATAAATTTAATATTGTGCACTCTGGTATGAAACTTTCAGTAGAAGTTGCATTTTAGCCTGTACATAGTGCATGACGGGACAAGCCAAACAAAACTTGAAATTCTCTGCGGCTGTAATGTTAAATCCTTTTCCACTTCAGTTTTTTCATATAAAAGCACACATCTCAGAAGCTGGTACATGGGAGGCTGATATTATCATTTTTTTCTTTGATAAGGGAATGAACAAAGAATCAGAAGGAAAAAATAACTCTCGGAATACTTGAGAAGGACATATAAATGGGAGTTCTGCAATTTACCTGAAGCTCTGTCTTCTCCTACTCCTTTATCCATCAATATCCTTGTTACAATTGCTTCCACCATATCATTTTTCGCTCAACTGCACTATCACCTGGCTCAAGGAACTGATTTGGATTAAAAATTTCCTTTCAGTGAAGCCCCATGTCTATTAAAACCACAAAGTGACATTCTGCTGTTACTGATGTGCACCCAATAAGTAATCAAAAGAACCTTCCAAAATGTACAAAAGGTTTCTGTTAGAGGTACCCAAGTAATTAAATTAAATAGAGTTTAGGTCTGGAGTTTGCCCTTATTTCTGGGTTCCATGGTGAGGGTACAGCACTGAGACCAGCACAGCATTCCTTACCATTTGATCTTTACTGAATGGATATTCCAGGGACTGTTCTGGACTTAAATTAATACTGGATCTCAAGTCTTGTATTTCAGTACTCTCCAGTTGCTTTGCCCATCGTTCTGTATCGAGGTTCCTGTCTGAAGTTGCCTTCTGTCCACAGGATGCTTTATATTTCAGGAAGTCTGAATCTTCTTCATACTCTTCATCCACCAGCATTTCCCGCTCTTCATCCATGTCTTCTGTTCTGGGTTTCAGGAATTCACACATCTCCCAGGACTCCCTCTCATCCTCATCGCCATTTTGAGAAAGCTGAAATGACCTTCCCAAGTCCAAATGTGGTTCATCAACAAGTTCTTCTTTAAAAGGTGTTTCATCTCTGAAACCCTGCACAGAACATTACAGGAATATAGACAGATTTTTACCACTATGTTTCCTCTTAACTCTTTCAAAACTATGTTTTTTTTATGCAAATAAAAATACATCCTGATTTTTAAAGTGAAAATCTTCTACCTTTTGAATATTCTAAAAGAAAACAGACTCTCTGACTTATGATTTTAATGCCAAAAGTAGACAGTGCAATGAATTTTTTTTAATATAACAAAATTAAAGTTTCACAGCTTAGATATGGCTGCAGCCATTTAAAAAAACCCAATCTGGACTGAAGTTAGGCAATGAAAATTATTAATTAACACCAAAAAGCCTTCAGGAAAAAGTATATATAAATCCGGTTAAAGTATCTCCATGCTTCAGACTTACCTGTTTTATGTACATTTCTTACAATATCATCAGCTAAATAAAAAACAGCTGAAGAGTTTGCTTATGCAACAATATCAGCAATTAAAAAAAACCACAAACAAACCCACAAACCAAAAGCCATAGTCCTTTGTCCTACCTTGGGTATTCCACACAATATTTAACCTGGGTCAAAGGGGAAATGGATGACCCACATACTCAAAGAAAAGGATATAAATGATCACTATCTAATGCCCTTCCTGTTTTAAAGAGAACAGTGCTCACTTTTCTACTCAATTAAAATCACAGAGAAAAAACACCAAAAAACCAACAACAAAACCAAGAGAAAAAGTATGAAAACCCACTCTGAAAGATCTTGCTCAACAGCTCCTTTTCTGGGATTTGCCATGTGCCTCCCCAGTCTCCAGTAATCCCTGTTTCTCCCAAATGGAATGGAGTGGTGTTCATTGGTTCACAGTGAGTCTGCACAGGCATCAGAGACTTTATGCCTTGCACTGGAACCAGAATTTTGCTACACACAGAAAGGTTTTACCTTCCTTTGTCAGGCCACCAAGCCTGTGTGGCCTGAAGAACCTCAAAACCCATCTTCAAGGCCCCGAACCCTCAAACTCCAAAAACAATCTACAGATTCAGGGCTCCTCACTCAAAATGTTTTTCCTTCTGCTTCCTGCCCCTTCCCAGACTCCCCAAGCTACTGCACCATTTCTGACCTTTAATATCAGAACCCTGTGCTGTTACATTTGTACAAATACAGAAGAAAAACCCTCAGACGCTGCCAAAATGTTTGTATAATTCAAGTGAGAGGCAGGAGAGAAAACAAGAGAGAGGCAAAAGCATGAGGAAACAATGCAGTCAATACCAGCTGGCACAAAAGCAGAACACCAGCTATTTAGAAATTAGTACATTTTTCATAAGCATTAAATGTTCCTTTAATCTATTTGACCTGTGTACCTCGATCTCACAAAACACCCAGTCTGAAGAGATCCAAATTCTCTACATCTTTATTCCATTTAGTTTCACTTCGCTCCTGCAGCATCATTCTCCCAACACTTCCACCAACTCCATCGTTACATAAAACAGTTGCCTGAGCTCAGAACCACACACAATTTGTGTTACTGATCCAGCAGTTTGCTCTGTATCATCCTCGACTGCTGCACTGCAGCAGCAGACGCTCCCAATGGCACAGGGAATGCTGCAAATATGCCATAAAGTCTACTGTGGTAGCAAATAAAATATCCAAGTTCCTTTTTTTTTTTTTTGTTGAAATTCAGCTTTGTCAGCACATCAGAGTGGGAGCCATCATGACACACCACTCTTGGCTCTTATATGAGCAGATAAGATAATAAATAGATGGAAATTTTAGCTATTACCAATGCTCTTATACATGAGGTGAAACAAAATGCAACCAAACACCTCTGAGGTCCAGTTTCTATATTCAGCAGGACTTTAAGATAAAATACTTTCTTTAAAAGTAATAACATTATTTTTATTTAGGAAGCAGAGATACAATCTGAGCTAGCAGAGGACTAATTCTGTGTCAGGAACCCTTCCTATGCACCCGTAAAAAAACAAAGTCCACTTTACACCATGAAAATCAGTAAATATAATTTATCATTATCCAGATTAATTTCTTCATATATACCTACATCTGCCCCATAATACTGCTCCTTTTGGTAGTTCTAATCTGCCATCTCAGCATTAAAAATGTTTGCATCCAGAGATACATAAACATGTTTAGCTACAAGAAAATCTAGAATTTATTTTTCTTCCTGTGTTTCAGTTATGGAGGATCCTGGCATCGTCTTTTCTGGTCTAAAAAGAATGCATTTACCAGTGCAAATTCTGCGAAGCACTTGAGAACAGATGAAAATTAAAAGATATCCACATCTCTCTAACTCTGCACTGGTGAGTAACTGCAATATTATTGCCTATTACCTCAGTATTTGAGTTTGTCACTATCTTTAGTGCCACATCCCTCCTCACAATAAACAGAATTATTTCTCAGAAAATAAGAAAGAGGAGAATTGAGGAAGAGAGCAAAGAAATCACTCCAAAGAACATCAGAAGGCTATAAAGAAGAACATATTTCAAGCGTGACTTATACACTAAACTACTTTTTTGTTTTGCTTCATTATAATCAAAAGCATTCTGCTTCTATACCTGACTTTTTTTGCAAAGCTGAACTCACTACTTTTGAGTAATATTAACACAGCATTCCTATTTCATATCCAAGGTAACCGAAGGTATTTTAATGACATAATAAATTTAATAAAGCAGTCTGGGAACTGCATTGGTAAGTGTTCTCTGTTCACAACACACTTTGCACGCAGTTTGCTGTTAAGAGGCTTTTTCAGAGGGAATCCAGCCTGAAGTCTACCCAATATGCCAGTCTTATCTCCAAAAAATTACTATTTTTTTACTTTAAAATATCATTTCCTGTCTGTATAAACTTAAGTTGAATGAAAAAAATAACCAAATACCTGTGGTGCTTCAAGTATTATTGAGAAATTAATGTTATCTATTGGTTCTGGAGACCCAGGGTTGGTTTTAATGCTGCTGGTATCCACACTGTGCATGTTCTCCTCCTCTCTGCTTTCTCCCTAAAGAAGGTAATCCAAATGATGAGTCAGGAAAACAACAAAACAATTCCTACATTTTTCAATAAATTAAAAGGTAGAGGGAGAATCAACCATACAGAATTATAAATGCAGAAAGTCATAAATGGAGAAGATGAAGACAACAGCTCCTGTTTTTTGAAGATACTGGTTCAGATACACAAAAATAATTCAGATACACTAAAAAATAGAGACGTTTCGGAAAGAAAGACAAATACGAGGATATGAACAATGAAATATCACATTTTAGAAAAGAAAAGAATATATTTAACAGCCTTCCTACATTCCTATTTCACCACTCCTCTACCACTTTGAATTACTACACTTTCTATTAGCTGGGGCTTTAATTAATTTTGCCTGGGTGCCCTTGATGAACAATAGTGTAGCGTTCTCCAGTAAACTACTGTCTGTTCCAAAGCCCTGATTCTAGAAAAAGGAAATTCTGCTTGAATTTACAGTCTTGACTTCAAACAGATTAAGTTTCTTTGATGTCAGTGGAGCTCAAGCAAGCACTTAGCAGTGTCTTAGAGTGAAATGGACTTCAGCACATATTTAACTGATTTGCTGAATTGCCTGAACCACGTTACACCTACGCACAGTGCACATGGGTTTGCCCAGACACGTCTCCTGATTCCACGTGAATGTTCTTTAAGGAGGAACTTGAGGACACTGGTTTTCCAGTCAGACCTTTTGGACATTGAGATGCCCATTTGCCAGGATTTCTGGACATGTCGAGGCATATGCACAGCAACTTAGTTGCTTTCCAGATGCACACATATTTCCATTCTAAATTCTCCCCCCAAATACAACAGCCCAGTCATGGGACCAAAGGAAAAAAAGTTAAAATCAGTCCTTACCACCAAAGGCTTGCAGATTCCAAGAGAAACTGTACCTGGGGGCACAGATTTCAACACTTCCACTGCCTCTGCCAAAGTGGCGCTGTCCAAATGTTTCTTATTGACGAAGACCAAGCGGTCCCCCGGTAACAGCTCCCCACCACGCTCAGCTACTCCACCTGCCACCAAGGAGCTGATCACAATGGCTGTTCTTGTTGGATCCAAGGGATCCTGTGGGGAGGAAAAAAAAAAAAATTGAAAAAAACCCAAGTGAAAGCCTTGAAGGATGATGTTTATTTGGAGTATGTAAAGAGCACTCAAGCACGTTCATCATTTAATGCTACAGAACGGAAGCCTGCTGAGACATTCAAAAAGGACTGTCTGCTAATACTGCCAAGGCTTACAGTTCACAAAAAGAAAAATATTCCATCACTTGCCTAATCCATTAAGAAATTTTCAGATCTGAAAGGTGACCGATACCCTGCCTGCCCTCTCCTTACACACACAGGCACAACCAGGCCAACCTGCAAATAGAACAACACTGGCACCCTTCCACAAGCCTCCATCCAGCCTGGGACGAGCTAATGTCACAGAAAATAACCATTCTGCACGTCACCTGAGAGCTCCAGAGCAGCAAAACTGATGGCAAAAGGAACCATTGCAAGATTAGAAATTTAATTAAAAATATTAAGTTAAAATTAAATCCCAAAACATTCAAGAAATAGCAGTTTATATTTGCTCTGTTACTGCAGTGTTTCTGCTTTGTCAACTGCACATGACAACTTATAAAAGACATTTTCTCTCCACCCCTGAAGCTTCCTTAAGGTACAGGATACAGAAACAGAAGAGTAACTAAGAGTATTACTGAAGACAAGGAATATTGTAGTGGTGGATACAGAGAATGTGAAGCAGAAAATATTATACACATTGATGAGACTGTAAACTGATGCAAAGATATTAACTTCACTTATTTTTTCCCCAGAATTAGCCTCTGCTTTGTGTCCTGTACCATTTCTATCATGCATGCAACCATTTAACAAACAATCCTCAATCCAATTAAATTGCTATAAATTATTATAGAGTGGCAGAAAGAGACACAAAATTTTTTTAATTTTTAATTTTTTTCATTTGTTTTGTTAAAATTACAATTAGCTTTTCTCCCCCTTGGTAAGGGTTCACAGAGTTCAGAAATGCTCCTTGCATGCACTGGGTCTCCAAGTGCATAATCATGGATTGTTTTTCTCTCAGGACTTGCATCACACTCAGGGCATGGGAGGGACAAAAAAAAGGGCAAAATTCAAATCACAAAGACCACCATGAATTCAGCACCTCAGTGTTAATTTGAAAACAGGAATGCTTTTTAAACTCTTTTATTTTTATATGACTATACACTGCTTTCCAAGGGCACATGTTTTTTAAGGTATGTGCAAACATATGAGGCAATGACTGTAATATCTGTAAAAGGCCGAAATTAGAAACCTGAAACTAGAGTTTAGCAGGAAAAGCCATGATGAAGCTGGATTCAAGTAAACACATATCGACAATAATTCTCTCCTGTTCTACTGCTTAATCCTGCTATTTTATAATCTTCCCAAACCCTGGGTATCCGCACTGCACAGAAGAAGCTTCTTCATGAATATCATGTCTTGATAATCAAGCCCAGAAGCCTCTCTGTGTTCTGCCTCCTGAATCTGTGCCAAGGAGCTCCATTTGTCTGACTGTCTGTGCCCAAACCTGCCACACACAGTGCCCAGGGGAAGGATCCCATGTGTTTCCAACAGCAAGACAGCCACACACTGCATCCAGTTTGGAAATTTTTAGAAGCAAAACAAAACGCAGGAAGTTCAGAAGGAGAATCCATACAAATTCCAAAATATTTATAAAAAAAGAGGGTTTGCTTTAAGTGTTGAATTTTGACAATTAAAATTACTGCTTTAAATTAAAGCCCTTTGCTCAGAGTGGGCTTTGCCTCTGTGCCCAAACAGCTCAACAGCCATAGAACAAACATAGACTTTTGAGGTGTTTTTACTCTTCGGGTTTGCTTCAATGCAAATTGAAAATAACCTTTTGGATGTTCTTGCAAACCCAGGATTGTGTCAACACAGCCATTTTACAGCAAGCAAGGCACTGTTCACATTAGGAAAGCTCTACTGTAGAACTAAACCAGCAAGTTTTCCTATCATGGGCTCATCTTGCCGTGGCAAGGAAGGTTTATGCTGGTTCCCTAAATGGGTGAAAGCTCTCTCAGCAAAACTACACCTTTGCTGACACAACAGCTTTTATAATATAATATGACTTCTGCTGGCTTAGCTATATTGATAAAAAATGAACAAAACAAACCCAGTACTCACCCTTACCCATGCAGATAAGCCAACAAAAATTCTGTGAGCGAATGACTAGTCCAGTAATTATGGTACGGTTGAGGCTTGAGAACCAGGTTCAAACCCTGCTCTGTTTGATCCAAAGCTGCTCTTTTTTTGGGTTCTGAATCCAAACCATTTAGGTAGGACATGGGAATCTCACCGTTAGCTTTTTATGTGCAGATATTCAAGATCAGTGGCCTAACTACTGCATTTCTGATGAGAAGCAGTCCTGTTTCAACTTATCACTGAAATAAAAACATTTTTGCTCAGTAAATCATCATGTTTTGTTAAGAGATAATTTAGCTGAAAAAAGTGTTCCAACTAGCTTTCCTCATGATAAAAATGAAGAGAACTCCTGGAAAGAAATAGCTCTTATGAAGTGAAGTTTAGAGGACAATGTGGTTATTTTTGCTGCTTCACAACATGCATTGGAATTGCTTCATGAAGAGCAGCAGCAGAAATCTCAGAAAAGGGGCCCATATTAAAAACTGTTGTTCAGGTAAACAGAAAACAGAGGTTACAATTCCACTGTTGATTTCAAGCAGAGGGAGCTGTTGCACAGGGAGAGAAGAGTACGATAAACTACACAGTGAGAGCTAAGGCAGGAACACCAGCAGTGCTGTAAAACCTGAGTTGATCCCAGTAACTGAATCACGATGCCATTGCCATAAGGAATGCAACAAAAGTTGCACAAGAAGACACAGACCTACCGAATTTCAAGGTATAATAGTGTAAACATATTAATATTCTATTGCAACTGTGGATTGCACAGTGCTTTCCTCATCAAAACCAAAGGAACACTGGGGGGTTTTTTTTATATCTTGCCTTATGATTTACACTCGAGCCCAAGACCACCCTAAAGAACACCACCTGCTAAAAAAAAGACAGCAAACATCAAATTCACATTCACATTTTCTAAATGAGGAGTGCAACTGGACTGTGTGGGTTGCTGTCTTGTTTTTGAAAGAAAGCAGGGCTAGCAGCAGGATAAAAAACAGATTCTATACTAACTGCAAAAGGTACAGTTTGTATATAGTTAGGATAGTTAAAAGGCAAGTTCACTCCCACACTGGGCTTTCTGGGCTGTCTCCATGTTAATAGACCAGCTAAAACCATTCCAAGTTACTAAACAACACTAGTTGTGACTGTACACCCACCCTGAGGCTCTAGATTCATTTTACCTGCCTAACATTAAGCCAGACAGTAAGTGATTTTTAGTTACTAGCAGTCAGGACCAGAATTCAGTCTGTGCTTCAAAGTCAAAGGCTCATTTACTTGGATGGAGTTTACAGGCTGGGGAGAAACTCTCTCCCTCCAAACCCAGCGCTGAGATGTTGCTGCAATGGTACTCAGGATACAGAAGGGACTCAAGTTCAGTAATTCAAGAAATTATTACGTGACTTTGCATTAGAGCAGAGGGAGAGTGCACTAGACAGCCCCATGCAACTTGGTCATCTTGAAATGAATATGAATAGTATAATCATTAAGAGTCGAAAAGACCTCCAAGATCATCATAAACCAGGTTTGGTACCATTAAAGAGGAACTTTTACCTTTACTGCAGGATTTCTTTACACAAACGAATCATTTATGAACAACGAGGAAAGGAACTGGACTGCAAAGTAAAGTAATGAGGAGACAACCCCCCTTAACTCTCAAGCACTGACACTAACTCTTTTTTTAAAAGGAAGAGTTACATGTAGAAAAGTTTGCCACTTGTATAAACGCTGAAAGCTGCCCCCCTGCCGTGCAGCTTCAGCAGCCCAGGACATTGGCCTTCAGGTAACCCTTTAAAGAACTTGTACTTTGTGGCTGGTATCTCTCCCTTTGTGCCAGAGCCAGCCATGGAGTAATATGAACTTGTTTAAAATAGTCACAATTTATTCATACTTAGCACATCATATATTTAACTATGTTGAACCACAGGTTTTCCCTTCCCCCCCCATACTCCTCATCAAAATCCACGAATGTTTCCTGGAGTCCAGGTGTCAAATTTTTCTTATTATTTTCAGAGCCTCATTTGTTCTGGATTCATTTAGCAGCGGAGAGTCAATCAGGGGCCACTGCAGTTGCTGCCTCTGGGATCCCTGGATTTGGAGCAGTATGAGGTCTCTTAAAAACCTGAGCTCTGCTAAAATGTTAAGAGTCCCAGGAGCAGCAAGTTAAGAGAGTCCTACGTGCAGTGCTGGAACTGTAACTTTATTGTGGCTTCAAGTGATTCGACTGCCACGAGCACCAGGCTCAGCTGTCAGAGGGCCTTAGGAAGCAAATCTGGAGACAGAACCAACACAGCTTACCTCTGTCCATCACACTGGAAAATTGAAATGATAAACCAGACTGACTCTTTCTTGTCCTTTCCAAACTGTGAGGTGTGCAGCAGCCAAGAGAGGGCACTCCAGGCCAGCCCAGCTCCCACCACCACAGGCACTCCAGGCTCCAACAAAGTCCATCCCCATCTGTCCAGCCCCCAGCCCCAGCAGACCCTCACTAGGCTGAGGATGAGGAGCAACCCGGCCCAGGCAACAACTCCATTGGATGGAAGCAGCTACCAGGTTTTCTGGGGTTTTGTTTGTGTTTTCCTCTTCAAAAGGCTCATATGAAAATGTAAGACAAAGCTGTGGGTGACTGACATTCCCTGTGCAAAGTCACTCTCACTTAGTTACAGGCTATATTAGTTTTGGCATCGCTTAAGATCTAAATCCAGCTCGCCTGACTTCCTAGAATATTTCAGCTTTCTTCAAGCAACAAACTGCCTGCTGCCACAAAAACACACATGCAAAACAGCATGGTGAAGGATCCCAAAAGAAACAGTTTGAAACTTTTTTTTTCCTGTACCATTTTCTGATTTATCTGAACATTTTTACAAGTGC